AAATTCATTCCTTAAAAAATAAAAAGTGTACTATTTTTACTTTCTAACCTTTCATTTTTTTCATCTACCCTACCAAACACACCATCAATTTAAACTATATAAAACGTTTTTTCAACCAAACAATTTCTGTGAAAGGTCAAGAACCTTTTGTTGTAATGATATTTCTATGCGGGCAGCAAGATCCCACTGTATAATTTATTTATTTATTTTTAATCTCAATAGAAGATTGGTAGGGGAGATGGGTTGTTATATTAATGTAGAATAAGAGAGATTGAAAATAGATAAAAAAAAAAAAAGGGAAGAAAAAGAAAAGACACAAAAATACATGTGATTTGGTATATTGTGCGTCCAAACATACTCTCCGGTAATTGTACGAGAATTACATAATATGTTTAAAGATAAAATCCAATACTCATGCTTATCATTAATTATGTTTATCGAAACTATGCATGTGTGAATAAATTTTTGAGACAATCCGTACATGTCTGTAAAATGACATGGGTGTTTTCTCCGCTACTATAAATGTATAATATAAAACATTAGTAATAGTTAATTAGTATTTATTATGGTAGTGATCTTATAGATGTAAAGGTAAAAATTATGGGAAATACTATGTATCCCAAATCTTCAACCCAAATCTCCATCCCAAATGAAAGGAGACAATTGGATGAGGGGTCCTATAAACTTTTTTAAACGAGACTCACTGATCTAATGATCTCCCTTGATTTGGAATGAAAATTTAGGACTGCTTAAAAATTATTGGTGCTTTAAATGTCTAGTCCTATTGGCATGGGCTAGGCTGTGGCTCACACATCCCTACCAGATACCTGACAAGGCCCGGCTTGTCTATGGCACAAGTTGGGTACACCAATAACCAGCCCAGCCCAAACAATTTATGGTGCGGCTCACGAATTTGTTTGCACCCCGTTCTTGACTACACATGCCACTGAAAAATTGTGCCCTAATGTTTAGAGCCAAACAGCTGATACTACAAGGGGAGACATAATCACATGCATCGTATTAGAATTAATGGTGGAATTAGTAGGTATTATGAGCTTTCAGAATAACCTACGTGATGGAAGTATCTTCTATATGGTAAGAATTTAGCCAGATTCAAAATTAACATTATAAAATCGAATCTTATGGATTTTCCCCCCTTCCCCCTTTCTCTAGTAATAAGATAAACTTGTTGGATCCTCCTTAAGTCTTGTCCTTTTCTCCGGATTTAAATTATCTCTCATATAATGATAGGTCATCCACTACAATTTTAAAAGGAACTCACCATATATAAATAGGTTCCATTCAAAAAAAATAGTGAAAGAGTACCAAAAAAAATCTAGATTACATATGACCCTCAATGGATTGCAAAAAGCCTATAACCCTCAAGGAAAATGCTACTTTGACCTAATTAAATGTGACTGTTGGATTGAAAATAGACTCCATCTCTCATTAGAATGTACAATTAATTTAATAACTACAACTAATGGGTCTTTAGTCCAATGATATTTCTTGTCTTATAAAAATTTTGTCTTCTTGAGGTCAAAGGTTCAATTCCACTTCCCCTTATTCCTCTCCCCCCAAAAAAATAAAAAAAATTCAATAACTACATTAAATTGGGCTTCTAGCTTTCCTTGTCCCCCTTCATCGGGCCGTGCGTGTGTGGTGGGTGCGCCACCAGAAATCGGGCTTGAAGCTCTCACCATACCAATGAGCTAATAGTTGTTGATTGTTGGTCACGATTACTACTAAAAAGCTACAATGAAAATGAATATTTCACATGGAAGAGTGTGCATTTGTATGTTGGAGGTTCTTTTGTTGTACGACTTATGTGCGAGACCCCTGATTGGGTTTAGCAGTCTTTGGCATGCTTGCAGATTGGGTTTGGTATAAAAAGTGATTAGGTCCAAGCCTTAATTAGTTAGGAGAGTCACACAAGAAAGCAAGAATGTATGTATGTATGATATGTCCTTTGGATATATATGCAGCATCACGTGGGTTAAACCGGTTCAGATAATGTCAATCAAACTATGTTAGTTCGTTGAAGTTGCTGTGGAATCTAAACAATGCATTTGGCAAACACAAAGAATTGATAACAAAATCTACTAAAAGATGTTATAGCTTGTTTAGCTAATAAAGTCTCCAAATAGTCTCCATCCGAGCTATTCTTCTCACAGACAAAATCGATTTACTCAGGAGGCTGCTTGGAGCCTCCTCGAAATCTGCAGAAATGGGGTTCATCTTAGCTGTTACCTTGTATTGAGCCGATCCTAAAGAGCCCCGATGAGCAACTTTGTTTTGTATGCTGTAGTGTGGATCACTTGTAAAATTAGCCCAGAGCTTCAGTCAAGCTCAATGAAAACTTTAAGCCAAACTCTAGCAACTTGTCAGTCTTTTATATTGGAAATCCAAGATACTTTTTAAAGTAAAGTAATTATCTTTCATGTATGCATATTCTGTGGCTTTGCTACTCATTTTTCCTTTTGTCACTTTAGTACTTACATTTTCAAATTGTGTCACTCTAGTATAACAAAAAAAAAAAAGACATTCTAAATTGACTAACAGATGTTATCAGGTGACCACATCCCCACACTCATGTGCATTCTTTAAAAACTGAGGAACTAAAGTCTTATAAATTGCAGGGATCGAAGTCTCATAAATTGCGAAATTCTAGGATCAAAGTGACGCTCAAGTATGGTCACCATTTTCGATCGACCAAGGTTACAAAAATTGACATAATCAAGAGAAAGAAATAAGGTGAGACAACCGAGAGAATGAGGAACAAAATGACAGAGAACACATGTGAGGGACCATTATTAAATTTACCTTCTATCTTCTTTTTTTTTTAACACTTCAACAGCTCAGCTTCAGCTTCAAATGTTTCAGCTTCTACTTGGACTCGTCTTTCGACATTGATTTCACATTTAGCCTCCTGCAAAGAAAGAAAGAAATAATTAAATTCTCCCTTCCCACTTTCGAAATCCTCAAGATGATTATTTTTTCCTTCAAACATCTAAACAAAAAACACATGTATATTTGAAGGACAACACCCGAAAATCAATAACTAAGGTGAAATCTGCAGTCTTTTAAGCAGCCTGAAAAATAATACATTATGCATGCAGGTTTCTTTAGGAATACTTTGAAACTGACTGCACTGATGATGTAGAGATTTGCCTTAGAATGGAAGTTGTATTTTCACGAAGTTGCTTAGAAACAGTGTCAAACCCTAGGCTTCCTCCAACAAGATTGGCTCTCATATTAGGAGAACTGCCCATGTATCACAGTACTAATATCACTGAATTTTACAATGAAGCACATGATAACATGTTATTTGCACATTTTTAATATATTTTATGTAGTATTTGAGATAATTATTAGGGAGTTATTTTAGTAAGTGGGTTAGTGGTAAAATAATTTGTGGGATTTTCTAGGTGGTTACTAAGATAACGGAGCCATGAGTCAAGTTAGTTATTAAGGTATTTTTATTATTTTGTATTTAAAAGTCTTTCTATTAATGAAATGAATATGTTGAATATTATATTGAATCTTCTTGTGAAAATTTTGGATATATTCTTCTCAAATTAAGCCATTGGAGGTTTCCACTCTCTCAAAGCGAGTTTTCTTCCTCGATTTTATTTTTTCTTTGTTTTATAAATTCCTCAAAATTGTGCACGGAACAATTGGTTTCAAAGCCCATGATCCTCTTAATGGCTACATCATTAGAGATTTTAAAGTTGATGCGTGGTGATTTTCAAAAGGCGTTTGAGAGGTCGATCGAAGAAAATCAATGGATGCTAGAAGGGATAAACAGATTTAGAAACATACGTCAAGAAGGAAATTCAAGTTCTGGACAATATTGTCAATCAGTAGAAAAATTCAAAAATCGTTGAGGATGCATCAAGCAAAGTTATTGTCACTATTGGAGCAAGTGAAAATAAAAGTTGGGGCACCATGAAGTTAGATGCTGCAGTCCACATGTTTGGTGGTGAGATTATTGACATAGTTTATTTTTATAAGGATATAGAAGTCGGTTGGCCGCCTCCTTTTCTTGCAACGTCTCTTTTCCTTTCTCTTCGTCTATCTTTTTGGTTTTTCTCCTCCAAATCTTTTTCATCTTTACCATTCCCTTTCTTAGTTCTCCACTCTTCATGGCTGCAGAATCAGTAGCAACCTTCTTGTGTCTTGAAAAAACATCTTTACTTTGGTTCAGCAGCTCAATCAATGGATTGTTCATGCCTTAGAATTTTGTGTCACCTTAGGCTTTGCTTTAGATGCAGATTATGAAGTCCTTTGGTGGCAAAATAAGATGGAGTTGAACCTTCAAGAGAGCTATGAATTTGACCGAGCACTCAAGGGCATAATGTAGCACTGCTTGATTCAAGAAAGCTGGTTGGTTGGTCTCCTCAATTTCATGATAAATCAAACTTTGAGGACAAATTTTTTTAAAGGAGAATAGAATGTTATGTGCACATTTCTAGTATATTTTTATATAGTATTTGAGATAGTTATTAGAGAGTTATTTTAGTGAATGGGTTAATGATAGAGTAATTTGTGAGAAATTTTCTAGGTGGTTATTAAGATAGTGGAACCATAAATCAAATTAGTTATTAAGGTAGTTTTATTATTTTATATTTAACGGTCTTCCTATCAATGAAATCAATATGTTGAATATTATATTGAACTTTCTTATAAAAGTTTTGGAGATAGGTTCTTCTCGAATTGAGGCATTAAAGGTTTCCATTTTCTTGAAACAGGTTTTCTTCTTTGATTCTATTTTTTTTTTTGTTTGACAAATTCCTCAAAATTGAGCACCTAACATAACATCAGACTGTTACAATCAGAATAATCTGCTTTATCCCATTCAGGATAAGAATAATAATCCTTTAAGCATAAGAATCTATCTTTTCTTTAACTTTATATCAACAAAAAGGAGCCATGGAATGATGACAGGCGATTCTATTTTCCTCTATTTAGCTGAGAAGATGAGCTACTATGCAAAGATAGGCTGAGATAACTTCAAAATTCCATGGCTCAACTTGGTTCTCTCTCTGCCGAAACGGAGACACTGAACCATGTCTTGAGGCTGATGGAGGCCTTTCGGGCTTTTGACTCAGACAATGATGGATCAATAACTGCTGCAGAGCTTGGTGGAATCATGGGATCGCTCGGGTACAATCCAAGTGAACAAGATGTGACGACAATGATGCAGAAAGGAGACACTAACAAGGACGGACTGCTGAGCATCTCAGAGTTCTTGGACATGAACACAAAGGAGTTGGAACTGGGGAGCCTAGCAACTTGTCTTAGAGGGGCTTTAGAAACTTTGGATCTCGAAGGGGATGAGGTTGTGACGGGAGAGGAGCTCTACCAAGTTGTGGGGACTACGGCAGCTCAATTGTCGCCAGAGGATTGTCAAGCAATTATTGCTTCTATGGATGGGGATGGGGATGGATCTATAAGCTTTGAGGACTTCAAACTTATTATTAGTTCGCTATTTAGATCGATAGGGCTTCATCCTTTGTAATAAAGGGGTAGCAATAATCCAGTCTTTCTGGAGCTGTATTCTATCAGATTATGCTACGAAAAAGATGTAAGATTATGCCAGATACTAGGCAAGCTAAGCTCATCCTTATTCTACGACTAATCATATGGATGTGGATATACTTAAATAAGAGTAATGCTATCCTCGACTAAAAAGTCTTTTCTTGGATGGAGTATACAGGTTGCCAGACTTGTTACTAATATTTTCTGGATAAAGCAGCAGTAAGTGGAACTAACTTTTATGTAAATTCTAACCATTCAATTACAATGGGAAAAATAAAACAGACAATCTGTCTCTGCGGAACTGGACCAACAATTCAAATTGGCCTAAATCATTTGACATCCCAAGAGACATACCTCAACTGGAAAGGCCAAGGTTTGGCTCTTTTATTTTCCATCCTCTGCACCCCAAATCATAACATCAGTACAACACGCATTGGAAACCTTCTCTAGCTGCAGGTTTATCCCTGATTTTGTCATGTGATTCTTAGCCAGTGTTTCAGTTGTGGGGTTTTTTTTATATGTTATGCTGGCTGCCAATAGCAGAAAAGAAATTTTTAAATCAGACCACCATATTCTTAGATAAAATCAGTGGTATTTCTCATCAATCTCAACTGCTCAATATGGCCTTTCATTCCTTGTAATGCTCACATGGAAGCCTTACGTATATTCGAGACAATATAAAAATAAATAAATAACACAGGTGAAACCACTCTCAATTCCATCGGCCAGTTGCAAATCACTCGAGTGTTTTAGTAAGGTGGTGATTTGTAGAAAACTCATCAAAATCCATAGCCATAGCCCTTTAGGCCTTTGTAAATGAAAGGTGTCTGGAGTCATGAAAACTTATTCTTTAAAGATATCCAATCGAATGAAAATGTTTTGTTGATGGCTCAAACCTAGGATTTTAATTTCAAAGCTAGTCTAATGTTTGTTTTGAAGTAAGTGGTGAACCACATGAGCTGCATTGACTATTCATCCTTTCTATATTTACCCTATTAATAATTAAGTCACCATATGTTATATACACGCCTTGTGTAAGAAACTAACTATTCTCTAAGAAAATACCTATCCCATATAAAATAATGGGATTCATCTTGCCCTATTGACTATTCATGATTGAATGGTTATACCTAAGCCTGTCAATCGAATCGGGTCTTAGCATGTTCATGTCAAAAATACTCTACTTATACCCAATTCGTTATTAATTCATGTTTAACGACTTGTGTTTTATTGAATTTGTGTATGAATCATTTATAACAATATTTAAAGGAGTCGTATCGTCATCTCCAGAAGAATAACAAAAGAAACCAAACTAATAAGACAATTGAGACGTTGGTGAATGGGGAAAAAAATTGAGCTTGTCATTATTAGCACGATATTAGGATCTTAAAAACGAATTTAATTTACTGATATAATGATGTGTTAAATGTTAGAGTCTCAATAAAGAAGTCCAATAGTTACAGTCACAAACAAAACAATTAGACTATGTCATTGCTATATTATTAAATCAGAAAATTAGGTCAATTTTTTAAATCACAATAACATTACTCTATGAGCACTACTTAAAGTCTTATGCTATGTTTTTATCATGGTTTGCATTACCAAACAACTAGAATTACAATGAATTTCCATTCTATAAGTCAAAAAAATCATTCGAAAAACAAGAATAAAGATTCAAATTCAATTACACTAGTATAATATGTTAGGAAGAATAAATGAAAAATTGTGAGCAAGTACCTTTTAAACTACATAATTGTGAGAAAATGTATTGACTAAAATATTTTGTATATAAGTACCTTTGACTTGAAAATGTATTATAGGTAGGTACTGATTGGCAAATTTTGAAAAAAAAATTTCACTAAAATACTATTTTGTTTATTGGAAGGCTGTTAGTTTGCCAATCCCATTTTTTATGGGATTTGATTTATTATCTTAATGGTTACATATTGTAAGGGATTGTAAAATTTGAAATTCAAAGTTATAAATCAAATCAAATAAAACTAACGGCTTGGCTCAGATTTTTTGACTTTAATATTTGAAAGGGTTAATCTTATTTTACACCTGGAAAGATAGTTCGAATCTTAATTTGTACCCTCAAAGAGCAAAAATCTCAATTTGTACCCTCAAAGATAGAAATTTGTATCAATATACACCCCCAAAGATAAAAAATCTCAATTTGCACCCTCAAAGATAGAAATTTGTATCAATGTGCACCCCCAAAGATAAAAAATCTCAATTTACATCCTCAAATATAGAAATTTATATCAATGTGCACCCCAAAGATCAAAAATCTCAATTTGCACTCTCAAATATAGAAATTTGTATCATTATGCACCTAAAACTAAATTGATAAATTATATCTATATCCTCTCATGTTTGTCACTTAATCATTTGGATCTCTTTACATTTAGAATATTACTCCTATATCTCATGACATTTATGCGCGTACAACATGTAACCCATTTTTATTGATATCTGTTAATATAACCATTAAAAAATATAATTTTATCCTAATAAAAAATTATAATTTCATATTACCCTTATTTTATGGGTCCAATATACTCTAAAGTTCAAAATCAAGCTTACTATTTGAATGTCTAATAAAATGTAAATATTTATATAATATTTTTCATATTTTCCTTTTTATAAATATCTACATTCTATTAGACATTCAAATGGTAAACTTGATTTTGAACTTTAGAGTATATCGAATCCACAAAATAAAGGGTAATATGAAATTATAATTTTTTATTAGGATAAAATCATATTTTTTAACGATTATATTAATAGATATCAACGAAAAGCGGTTATGTTTACACATATACAAATGTCATGAGATGTAGGGGTAATATTCTAAATATGAAGGGGTTCAAATGATTAAGTGACAAACATGAGAGGATCTAGGTATAATTTATCAATTTAGTTTTAGGTGCACATTAATACAGATTTCTATCTTTGAGAGTGCAAATTGAGATTTTTTATCTTTGGGGGTGCACATTGATACAAATTTCTATTTTTGAGGGTGTAAATTGAGATTTTTTATCTTTGGGGTGTACATTGATACAATTTTCTATCTTTGAGGGTACAAATTGAGATTTTTAATCTCTGGGAGTGTAAATTGAGATTCGAACGATCTTTCAGGGTGTAAAATGAGATTAACCCTATTTGAAATTTAATATTCATTTACTCTGTCAACATGTCTATCCGATCGTCATCTGTGCTGTCCACATTTCTATTCTTCGTCACTGTCACAGTGTCATATTACAATTTAATGTCATAGTGTCATGTTACAGCATAATGTCAATATTAACTAGTGCAATATTACACATCTGTTTTCATACAAAATGTTGAATGCATTTGTGACAGGTTTTTTCGATGGAAGATACGGTCTTGTTGGTATGCAAATATGGTAATGAGACATCAATGCTTAGTGTCCCCACGTGTTCACTGTTGGATTATGTGGTAGGACGACTGTATGATACATGAGAGGAGGAATGTTGCTGTTGGTTTCTTATATTCAATTCTTGATCATCCAAATTGTATTGTTAAAAATAATGAAGATCTGAAAAACATGTTTGACATGGGACATTCACTTACTGTCAACTACATGTGGATGTAAGGATTCACCTCCTTGATGATGCGTTACAACTTAATGTGGACAACCATGCACGTGAAGACGTCAATGTACTGAATGATGGTATTGATAATAACACTGTGACATTACACTACAATGTCACACTGCTGCATGCAGAATGACAGTGTGATATAACACTGTAATGTCACGCCACTACAAAAACCCAATCCAGACAACTGCAATTAGTTGATTGTATCAAAATTTACCACCATAGAATACTACTGAGATGTAACATTGATTCTTTAAAATTTCCAGATCCCTAATTAAGTTTAGTTTTCTTGGAATTTTTGTTTTAATTATTGTCGTAATATGAAATCTTTTTCAGTCCAACTTTTCTAACGATTCAAGAATGTTGACACCATTTCGGCCCGGAATTCTTTTATCTGTGCTTGTCTAAATTTCTCTTCTATATCTTCTCCTTTTGTCAATTGTTTCATAAGGTAGTAAACATGGATACTGCAATCAACCCTGCAATATGTATTAACATGTAAGGCTAAAAATGCATAAAATAAAAGGCATTTTCCAATAAAATGCATTATCAATCAATGATTCCAAATGGAACAAGGTCAAAATCATAAAACCCCACTCTAAAAACCCTGGTGCACCTATTTGATTAACTTGAAAAATACAATTTTATAAGAAATCAATATATCAACATTTGTTTACCTACACAATGATACAGAAATTCAGGGTTGTTGTTTGATAATCATTGGTTTGAATGAATGCTACTCCCACGTCGGCAAAATCAAAACAAAGGCGTCTGCTACAAAAGTCTTCTCCATTTTTTGAGAACTTCGATGTCGAAAAACTCAAACCACATGTGACTGCTTCAACACTTTCATAATCTTGTCTCTGATTTGGTTGAAAACTGAATGACTATTAGGAGATTTTTGTTTAAATGTTGAAATCCGTTTTTGGGAGGTTTTTGCGTCTTACCAGTTGCCAAGTTTTTTGTGGGATTATTGCTTGAAATCCGGCATTTTCCAATTATAATCCTTCCTCCTGTTTGTGTACCTATGTGGGTATTTTTGTCCTTCCAAAAAAAAAAGGGTACTTCTCCGCAAATCTTTTTTAACTGCACACTTTTTCATAATTAAGTGCTATCGAAGTGGTTAGCCGGCCCAAATATTTTTTCCTCTTAATCCATCATATCGTTTAATTTGTATAATTAGGGGTCTTAAACTATTCGAGTTTATTCAATTTTTTATGCTTATTATACTATGGTCCGTTTAGTAGAGTGGATGAAAAAATAGAAAGATAGAAAATAAGAGTGATACACTTCCTATTTTTCAATGAAAAAATCCTTATTTCCGTCTCCTATGTTTGGTAAGAGAAATGAAAAGTAAGAATAATGAATTTTTTTTTTTGTGTTTATTAAGATGAAAAAAGAATTTTTATTTATTTTTAAAAAATATAAATATATATATGAAATTAATGTATATATAATATGTAATTGATAAATATAATATATGTATATATCAAAAGATATATAAACAAATAACATACATTTTAACACACATAATTAACTTTCTACATACTTTCTTTCTAATTTTGGAGGGATTGATTTTAGTGAGTTAGAAAGAAAATTAATCCATCCACTTTTTCATTTTTTTCTAATTTTCTTCCTTACCAAACATGATGTTTTATTTATCCCTCTAATTTTCGATCCTTCAAATTTTTTATCTTTTTATTTTTTTTTTCCATCGTATTAAACGAAACATTAGACTTAATTCGGTTGTGTTTGATCGAGTTTTGATTTTTATTAATGCTTGCTTTCATAGACGCTTGCAAATATTCAAGTTTAATTCATAGCGAAAAATTGCCGGCATGAGCATGTTACTATTATTTAGAAATAGGCTCACTTCAATCCTAGTGGGTCATTTTAAAGTGATAAATCCAACTAATTTTTTCTTGACATTTAAGCATCACAAAGATATACCGCAATCTTTCAAACTATGTCATGATGGATAACAAATGATCATCTTGGTCATGATGGATTTTGTTTGCGCAGTTTTCAAAATTTTATTTGATTTAATGAGTCTATAATTTACACACATTGATTAGTTTTGACGGTTGAAAAAAATAAAGCGTAAATTCATAGATCTTGAATTTGAATTCTTATAGTCACATAAACAACCTAGGTATAACCCGTCCATCTAATTTGAGTATGATTGTATATATGCATCAAAATTTGAATTGCAATAACGTTTCCAGTGGACATTGAGGCAATTTGATGTTACTAAAAAGATTCTAGGTCCATCATTTTGGTCACATACATACACCTATCTGCGAGTTTGGAATAATTTTTTACAGTCGTTAAAATTTACAAAAGCGATTTGATTGGTTTAGACCTATCCAAGTAGCATAAAATTGAATTTGGGCCTCACCGAGTCGTAAATTTTGCTTATTTGTTAGTATATTACCTTTATTAGATTGTAATTTGTTTATTTGGATATTTTTTGGTACCATAAATTATTCTAATATATGTATACATATATGAAAAAAGGCTCAGTTTCTTTTTTTTTAATATACAAGTTACAATTTTAAAGGACATGATTGATCATGGAACGTTGAGATCGATACCGAAGTTTATGATCGATCATGCATGTCTGTAATCGATTATAACCTTTCATTGAGCAAGTGTAACTTCTCTTTTCAAAGTTATAATTTTAATATAAAAATGATAACCGATGATACTAGTACAAAAAAATTTGTTTAGGCACCAGAGACTTTCCCCACGTATAGACAAACTCATTTATGTAAATGATCTGTCAATATTATTAGATAAGAACGAAACCAAAGAAAATGAGGCATGCATGAATTTCAAACAACCTAACTCATGCAAAGTGGGTGAGTGCCAAATTTTATTAAAAGTCTCCATCCATCTCTCCCCTCCCAACTGCATTTTTGTCTATAGCCAATTCAACCACAGAATGACATTAAAGACTGAAAAAGGATTGGTGGTGGGGTGGTTAGTGGTTGCATCCTTGCTTCTTATATCTCCAACTTCTAGTTCAACAACCTCAATCACGAAGGAAGCAAGCGACACCATGGATGGTCAAGCCAAGGGCGGGAGCGATTCGAGCCACGACGGAGGATGGAACTTTCGGTGTGGATGTGGGTCATCACCGGACGGAAGTTCGAACTACCGATGGGGTGCTGGCACGGGCCCTGATGGTAGCTCTTTCGGTTTTGGCTCCGGGTCTAGTCAAAGTTCCCAAGGTGGTGGTGGTAATAGTGGTGGCTTTGCGTTCGGATATGGCGGAAATGGTGGCGATCGTGGTGGTTATGCAAATTCCAATGGCAGGTTTGGGTTTGGTGGCAATGTGCCTAGCCAACCTGAGTCCAATGGGGCTACCAATACTAACAATAACCATGTGGCACTAGACCTAGCATGAATCGTTGATGGTTCTTTGTTGGTTATAGTTAATTGTGGGGTTAATATATTACAACGGCCAGTGTATGCCTGTTATATGTTGTATCCTAACTAAATGGTTTCCTCCATAGAACAAAATGATGGATGCATATATTATACCATCGATGATGATTTTTAAATTTGGGATCGGGAGCATTTTCTTATTTGATGATCGAGAATCTATTCAACCATATATTATTTAAATTTGTGATTATGACGTTAATTATGCACATCTACTCAACCGAATTGTCCCATTCAAAAAACATCAAAACGTCTAATGAATAAATATAATTACTTTTATACGAAGAAAATATCAAAAACTTGATATTGATGGTGACGTGAATTTTGTATGCTCGGTTTTTAAGAGAAACGAATAATGTGCACTTTTTTCCTGCAACGAGTAAACTGTGAGGGATCGAAGGTTGACCGACTGGATATACTCTTATGCTTAATTCAATAAGGGTCTCAAGATCAAACAAACAAATTACAGCGGAAGAAGTGAGTATCTTAAGACATAAACTCATCTAGTATTTATGAGATTGTATCACCTAACCTAGTCGGGCTTAGAATACTGGAAAGAGTAAATAATGTGACACACCCCGTGCCTAGCCAAATTTATATCAATCTAATTCCACTTTGGTTTTTACTTGCCGATTTTATATGTTACGTGTTTACAATGAGCACCATATCAATGCTAGGTTTTATTCATTTTAATTGCCTCGGGTCTCTAGGGATAATATATTTATCTATTATGTTCAAATAGAGTTATATTTCTAGAAGATGTAATTACATTTTGGGAAAATTGTGAAAAGGTACATCTTTTCATATTTATTTGTGTAAAAGTATCTCAATATAAAATATATGTGTATAAGTACCTTTCAATGTAAATGTTTGATGACGAGGTACACCTTTTGTTGAATTGTAATTTTTTCTCTTACTAAATTGTCTTTTTCTTTTATTAATTGGAGACAAATATAACAGTTATACTTGGGATTTAGTTTCCTAATTTTATACTATATCCTTTTTGAATTTTAAATTACCTATTCATGTGTGATTGACCAACCGTTTATTCAAATATTCCATACATATTCCTCTATCATTCAAACATTTTCCTCTGTCATTCATTTCATTCCGTAACCGCGTTTACAAACATATTCCAGTTAGTTGTAATGGAAGACATGCATCAAGTATGTCGTCCATATGTTTTTTTTTTTAAAAATCGTTATAGTCTCTTAACGTCAATCATGTTTATGTGAGAATCAAGGTCAATGATGATGACTTAAATGAGGATGATCGTAATAATCAAGATGATGATTCTGATTTTGAGGATGATTTGATGCCTCACACTATAATGTCGTAGTACTACAAAATAATGTCACACTGATACTAAAAAATATCACACTATTACAAACCAATGTCACACTACTGCAAGTCAATGTCATACTGCATACATTGACATGACGCATGACACAATGTATATGACTAGGGATGACAATGAATCGGAGAAAAACGAGTATTCGTCCAAATCCGTCTCGTTTGGATCGGGGATGGACTATACGTATTGAACGGTGGACGCATATGAGAATACCCATATAAACACGTACGGGGATGAAGGCGGGGATGGACTTACCCTTACCCCCGCCCCGCCCCCGCTATACCCGTTATATATATATATATATATATATATCTCAGACCTAACTTACTAAGTCTTCTCTATCAGCCGCCTCTCTCATCCCTCTCCTGCTTCTCCCCGTCTCTCTCATCCCTCCATCGGATACAACACGTCCACACACCACTACATTCCACATTGCTCTCTCTCTCTAAAACTTTCTCTCTCTACGCCTTCAATTTTCAAACACGAAAGAGCAGAACAGAAAAACAACAGTGCAAGTCTATTGCTCCACTTACCTGTTTTCTCTCTCTAAAACTCTTAAGGCGCCATGTCTGTGCCTTTGAGGTTTGAACTTCTTCTTCGTCTTTTGTTGGACCCAAAAAGCGAAGTTGTTTTCATGTCTTGTGGGTCTTGGAGGGCTTGATTTTCTTGTTGGTTGAGTTTTGTTTTCTGTGTATGTAGATGGGTCTCATGTCTTGTGGGTCTTTGCAAGCTTGATTTTCTTTGTTGGTTGAGTGTTGTTTTCTGTATATGTATTTAGTTTAAATTTACTTCAGTTTTTGGGAGGTTGAATTCAGAAGTCTAAGTTTGTGAGAATCCAAGTCAATTTGTATTCCCTCCTTCCCTTCCCCTTTTGGCGCAAAAAAACTGAGGATTGTATTTTCCCACCAATGCCCATTTTATTTTATGTTTTTCTTGTAATGAAGTCTATTTGATTTGCTAAGAAATTACAAGAGAAGAAAATGGAATTTAATTGCTACAAATATGGTATTTTGGATACTTGTTATTTTATTGGGTTGGGCCTTAGTTTCTTGATTGATGAAAGTTCTATGGCTGAATTTTGTTTTTTAAATTTAAATTTGTGTTAACATCCTCATCTCTGTAATACTCATCTACATAACTTTTGTTACAAAAGCATAAATGTGATTTTTCTTGCCTTGCTGGTGTAATTTTTTTCTTTCTAGTTTGATATGCATACATTGATCAATGATGCTCCAGTGGGCTTAGGCATGGTCTTGGGTTTGGGCAGGTACGGGAAAGTGGGGACAGGGATGGAGATTAAAAATTTACCTGCGGACGGAGACAGGGATGAAAACTATACCTGTTAACGAGGGTGGATTAAGGATGGACGTAGTTTTTTAAGCGGGTACAGGGATAGAGACTACACCCCTGCCTTCGCTTCGGTCCACTGACATCCCTGTATATGGCCTCTTTGGTTATTTTTTTTGTGGCAAATGATTGAACACTAGGTGTGCATGTAGTACCAAGCACCAGAAGTAGAAAGGTAATTGAGGAGAAAAAAATAGATAAAATAAAAACATTGGGAGAAACAACATTTTTCTTGAGTTATCAACTTCTTTTCCAAAAATTTCAACGTTCTTCTTCTTCAGCGGTGAATTTCGGTGTGGTCGTCACCATCTGATACCGATATTTTCCTTTATTCACAGTGAACCCATCAAAAAATCCATCACTTATTCAAAAGGATTTTCACATCCTATTCAGCGATCAACATACAGTTTTGCAAAGAAAGGAGATTTTATGGAAGGTTTCTTACCAAACATTGAAAGAATGTATGTCTTCCAACGAGATTTCTAGTTAGTCACGGTAAAACAATCAAAAACCCTATTACTTGTGAACAGTGAGTTTCACTTCTTCAGCAACGATCAACAGGAAGTTTTAAAAATTCAAAAAAGAGGTTTTATGAAAGTTTTGGGAAGAATGGGATTTCCGGCGATATTGAAGGGATTTATCTGTAACAATTGAGATCTCTTAAGTTTCGGTTGTGGAGGCAAAAATATAGAAATCGGTTCTCATTCTACTGAAAGGGGTATTTTAAAAATTTGTTAGAGGTTGTATACTTTTTGACATATGTTTTTAAAAGTGGTATTTTTTGTCCTATAATTTTTAAAAAGGGTATCTGGCACCTTAAAACCCTTAAAATTTTTATTGAAATGTTAATCTTATAGTATCTGTTTTCGTGCATACTTCACGAGGTCCTACTCGGTACACACTTTCTTACTTGGGAATGTTTTCCACCAATCAAGCAAAAAAAAAAAAGTGATTCATTTTTTAGTCAGACTTCTATTCAGTATAACTTGGCCCACAGTCAAAAATCTGCTTGACTAAATAACAGTCTTGTTCGATTGAACTTTTATTTGCTCAGTCATAATAGAGCTATTTCAAACGACTCTTTTTAACATGTATGGACTGTCACGTATTCAGATTCAATTGTCAGATCATAAAGAGTGAGTTTGAACATGCCGATTGCCTTGGTGACAAAGAAGAGCAGCCCGATTCGGGTTTCCATTGAAATCTCAATGATTAGAGTAGCATCTAAAATTCCCTGACAAAATATCTAAGGAGCATGCATATTCAAAACCTATGCAGCAAATCAGTTTCAACTATTGCACAAGAGCCTCAGATAGTGCATCATACGTATTGTTTGGCTGCAGCTATTTCGCCTAGATTTCTCACCTCACCTGAAAGTTGTTTCTTCTTCTCAACTACATTCTTTATTATATATTATCCTTTCTCTTCGAGTTGTAATTATACTCGCATCTAATTTTGTAACGAGCTTCCTCTTTTTAAATAAAAAGATCTAATATATTTTTGTGTTACACTCGGGATCATGCAAACCACCTTAAAAGGGCCCAATATGACAAAGATGCAATAAACACAAAACTGTAACAAAATATAAGCTATACATTTCTCAGCCCTTAGGCAAAAATCAAGAGGAGTTTGCGACCCTCCCTCATCCATTAATTAACGAGTTTATGGTTTGCCCATTGGTTTAGTCATAGTGGATCTTTAGCAACCCATCCATTTGGCCACTATTGAACTTATTTTTCACTATTTTTTTGCTATTTTTATTTTCATTTTTTCTTTAATTATTTTCAATCATTTTTTGGAGTCGGGCCAGGCCAGGCATCTATAGGCAGGTTGTCTTCATAGGCCTTAATTGCGCCTATCAGTCAAAATCAAGATCCATAACTCTTACACATTGGGCTTCTAGTTTGTACACAAACTGTCACAGATCTGACCGGGTCGCAATTTAACGGGCTAAACATGGAGCACACATCATTCGTTGGGCCTTAATACATATCTGCCCTGCCAAGTCCGGACATACAGTGGTATGGTACCTTAGAACTAGAAGGATAAGCAATTAACTGCCTCTCAACTTCGTCCTCCGTCTCTCTCAGACAATGGCACAAACACTTGCAACGCCCATTGCACCATCACTCTCTCTCATCTGCAACAGAAACCCAAACTCCAAATTTCACCACAATGCTCTCTCTTTTCCCACTTCAATCCCTCCTATGGTAACATCATTGCAGAAGTTTTCATCTATTTTTTGATTTTCCATTTTCTTTTGTTGTCTCAGTAACGATACAGGGTTGATGTGACTTAATTTTTGCAGATTGGTGGATTAAGCATCAAATGCGCGCGTGTGGGAGGTGTGGAGATACCCAACAACAAGAGGGTCGAATACTCTCTGCAGTATATACATGGAATAGGGCGAACAAGAGCTAAGCAAATTCTATGTGACCTCAACATGGAGAATAAAGTCACCAAGGATATGTCGGAGGACGAGCTCATCACTCTCCGTGACGAAGTCTCCAAGTACATGATCGAAGGTGACCTGGTAAGAACACCCACTTGCCCCCCCCCCCCCCTCTTTCTGTCTATATATATCTGTTTCTGTGTGATTTGTGTCACTTTTTCTGTCTAAACATGATTTGGGGTTTTGGGTTAAAGGTGTTTTAGATACTTGCTCTGTGATAGTTGATTTGAGGCTATCCCTATTTTTGGATATTTTCTCTGCTCAATGCAATTCGAATTTTTGGGATTTTGGGTGAATTGGTTTGTCCTCCGTCTCTGAATATGATTTGGGTTCTAGGATTTGGCCTTTTTTATTTTCCATTTTACTCACACACACACAAACTCCCCCTCTTCCTGTATATGTGACATTATATGTTGGAAGAGAGGGTATACAGGGCTACCTCTTGACTCGCAGAACCAGATCGAACAAACTTGTTTTACCAGACTTGTTGTAATCCTAGCTATTTGGGGGCTTTTCAGATCCACTAGCTTGACAATTCGCAGGAAAGTATAAGAGTCCCCTACGCAACCACACTCATGAATCTTAGGGATCCTTCAAGATAGTGATTCCTAGAGAGAGATATTTTGGAGGGAGAGAGTGACCAATTTCTAACTTATTTTCTGTATCCATGTCTCTTTTGTATATGAATAAGATTTTAAGGATGATACAAATCCTACCCTAATCCCAACTCATGGGTTATTTTAACAACAACCTTGAGGAGACTAAGTTAACTTGTCTCCTAACCGGGTCCTGATTAAAATATATATAGTGCCAAAGAAAAATCCGATTAGTGCACAAGAACAAAACCGAGTAAACAAAGCTAAGACGTAGATCATACTTGAACTTCTGCAAGACAGAAACGAGGTTAGGAGGGCACTGGTGGTGTTTCTTGCATTTTCCTTATATACAACAATTGGTTGAAGAAAGGTCAATTGAAAGCTAAAGTATGTAGGGTGGCTAGTCTTTTATGCAAGGAATACTTGAATTGGCTGAGCTAAATTGGTTGTTAAAGGCTAAGAATCTTATTTTAAAGAAGAACCGATGGTTGACTCTCTTTTTCAGTTATTGCTTCAGCTAACAGCCGTAATTTAGAGAAGGTTTGGCCTTCTGTTGAAGGCTGCAATCTTGTGCAAATAAACACTCAAGATTGGTGCCTTGGAACTTCTGTGAGGCTGTTGTCTAACATTTTCCTAAAAGTCGGGCTTTGCTATTCTGTGAAACTATTATCGCTACAACCACGTATATTTGCTCAAGCCATCCTTTTAGTGGTCATCATAATCAGTGCTTGAGACTCTTTAATTCTTATTAGTCCAGACGCATGGCTATGAATCATGAAAATTGTCTTTTGACCTCATAGTTGATTACTCGTATTAGTATTTCTCTGGTGGGCACCCTGCATTCTTTGATGCCACCCACAGGCATGTGCTTCTGAAATTCTAGCTCTGATCCTAGGGTGGACAAGTGCCACCTTCTTAGTTGCTGATGAAATAATGAACATTCCCAGGCCCAACTAGATCGTTCATTTTTTCATCCATGCTAGGTGTGGGTAAACCTGTTCAATGGTCGGATTCCTTTGATATCTTAACTTGTCATTTTTGCCGTCTTTGCCAGGCCTCATGCAGTGAGTGGTCTAGCAAATTATGTGCTTTCACACACATATCTATGTATGTATATTGATTTGAAGCTAAGTTCTTTGTTTAAAAGTGATTTGGGATTTTTGGGTCGTTGGGTGTGTTTTTTTAGAGGAGGTTCAATGCACTCGCAATTAGGAGGCTGAAGGAAATACAGTGCTACAGAGGGGTGAGGCATATTCAAGGATTGCCGTGTAGAGGACAGAGGACAAAGAACAATTGCAGGACCTTGAAGGGCAAAAGGGTTGCAATTGCTGGGAAGAAGAAGGCACCTCGTTGATTTGAAAGGGGTTTGTTTTCTTTTTTGTAGTTGGTCGGTGGAATGTCCATGAACTGTTGTGCAGTGTTAATTCAACTGCTATTATCACATTAATTTCTGTTTATGATATTTGGAGTTGCATATAGTCCTGTCTAAATTACTTTCTGAATTGAGAATATAATGGTGTAAATGCACTTTCCTCATGCTTTCCTAACATAAATTTTATAGCTGTGTACCACTTATAGGTGCTTCCTAACTGACTCTTCATGACGTTGTGCTGACTTGGGGACACTCATGTTGCCCATTTATTGCTTTCAGAATCCAGTTTTTACGTCCAATAATCAACAATGATACTACTTGGACCTAACTCCACTACTACCATTAGATTTGCAGTGGACATCAACTCATGTTCAACATCTTTTTTGCATAGTTTTATTAACAAGAAGAAAAGCATTGTACAGCTACCATGATTCGAATTTATGTGAAAGTAAAGCTGCCCGTTGTGCATCTCATCATGATTGTTAATTGTCTCAGTTAGGTCTATCCAATCATGATTGTAATTGTCTTCCTTCGTCTTCCCTTAGTTGAAGTTATACTTTCGGTCAATACCTTGGCTCCTAATTTAGTTTTTGTTTTTGTAGTGTGTCCTGAAGTTCTTTAATGCATCCATGCCCTTGTAACAATTGTTGAGTAGAATCTCGATGGCTTTGCTAAGTAGTAGCATATCACAAAAACCTTAGTAGCTTAACGGTACATTTCTGCCGTCCACAATTGCCCATCCTGGCAAGTTATTAGCTCAACATTTAAAACCACCCTGGCAGCCTCGCCTTTATTCTGTGGTAGGGGTTTGAGTTTTCTGATTCTCTTACAATGTTCACTATCTGGTGAATTACTCTGCAAACAGCAACCGACGTGGCTGTGCTCTTCTTTTTGTTGTTTTATTGGAAGGTCCAGGTTTTAGTTGTAACTAATATGTTGTTGCTTGGCTCTCTACCTGTGATAGAATGTAATGCGATCCTCTGTGAATCTCTGTGCTTTGAGGTCTTGCACGCATTTACAAGGCTGAGGATATTGTTGGGTATTTCGAAGCTTTGATTAAAATGTTTTGGAAGTTTCATGTGAAACCTCCAAAACATTTGGGAATTTTGCCATATGATATGTCTCTGGCGTCATAAGGATTAAAAAATGTTGTTTCATTTCAAAAAAATGTGAACTAAGTGCTTGATACGGAGTTTTCAACTTCTGTAAAAATTTGCTGTCTATCCTCATTCTTCTGACAACTAACTTGTTTAGAGATGTGTAAAACTAGAAAGCCAAAACAGTAACTGTGTAGGCCTTTAACATGGAACATAGTAAACAGGGTTAATTTCAGTAGAATAAGGCTTTTACCATGCGTTTTGTTCATTGAGTTCAGTGGTCTGGGATAATTTTCCTGCATCAGACGGCAAACTGGTGAAGAATTGTTGTCTAGGAAGGCTATCCATAATAATTTTATGTTATGATGAGGTCATTCCGCGAGCTTTTGAGGAGGATAAAGTATCTGATAGTCTTCCTTTTGAGTCATTGATTACTCAAATCTGCAAGGCCAAGGGAGTGGTTACCTTGCCTAAGGATAGGATGCAGAAACTCAAGAGGCCTCTCAACAAGAGTTCTTTGAGGATATAAGCCTCCAAACTTCTAACATAAAGAATATTATGAAAGCAGAGCCACCTGAACGACAATTCATAAGATTTTCTTAGTTGTTGAAGTACTTCACAGGTTTGTTAAATGACGAGAATGTAAAAATAGAATTCCCAACCCACCCCTCCCACCCCAAAAACATGTAAGAGCTTGAGGAGTTCTGGAAAAATAATAACATGCGTGTCCATTGGTCATCAGACTGGCCCGTGCAGCCCAGTACCCAGAACAACCACAGCCCAAGTATGCTGCCTCCAGCCCACTAGTTACCCCAAAGCTAGGCCTGTGTGCTTGGACCGCCCACCACGCCCAATTTATCAAACATTTTACAAATGACAGAGGTCAGACTAGTACCAAATTCAAATAATCCAATCTTTTCTCATTATAAAACTCATTTAATCGAGTCCATAGGACATGAAGTAAATGTCAAAAAACTAAATTCTATTTCTTTATCTTGTATTATGTAAAATCCCAAATCTCAATCAATAGACTTTTAATCCAGAATCTCTCTCAACAGAAAATTAACTTAGCTGGGGTATATAGACACCAGCAGCTATGAACCAAAGTACAAGTCGAAGCCATCAATGTAGTAATCTTTTCCATGAATAAATACGAAAACAACATAAACCACAGAAGCTTTATAGATTTTGATTTCAAAATGGTCTTCCCAAATCATACAGTGCAATGGCAATTTTAATCCTAAAAGCACTAGTCCAGAACCCTTGTTTCCATTTCACCCCAGATGCGAACATATACACATCCAGCTCCAGCCTAGGGAGAGAATGGAAACAAGGGTCACAATCCTACATTGTCAAACATCCCACAGACCATCAATCCTACTCCTAACTCCTGAATACAAATTACTCAAAAAGTAACAACAGCGAAAACCCCAGTCCCTAATCATCATCTACAACAGCCAATTTTCCACTACACGCATAGCAAACCCATAAACATGATAGAGAGATAGAAAGAGAGAGAGAGTAGGTGGTTGTGTTGTGTGGTTGTCTTCAAGGCCTTGAGAGAAAGGCCCTACACTTGCCAATAGCTCTGGGAAGAGTGGTGGAGTTTGGACCATTGCGGGGTGGAGATAGAACCACAGGCAGGTACTCATTCTTGTCACACACAAAGTTTGAATTCTGAAAGTGGCGGACCAGAGCATCCCTTCCCTTGAAAACATTTTCAGACATCCAGCACAAAAAAGAAAAAAAAAACAACCAAATTGAAGATGAAGGTTTTATCAAACATTTGAAATTCAAACATACGAAACAAAATTAAAAAAAGAAGTGGGAAATTATCAGACTACTGAAGATGGAGATTATACCTGGATTCGAGCCCATCTAATGTCACATATTTTTTTAGACTGGTAAACACCACCCTTTGAAGTTTCTACAGGCCCCCACTTGTAGTTGTGCAAAAGTTCATGTATTCTTTTGGCAGCAAAAGTAGTAGTAAAATTCACAAAAGCGTACCCCAAATTGTTGTCGTTTCTGCTAAAATAAATGCAACAAAAAATAGAGAGATACAAGTCAAAATGCCAATGTATGCTAGTCGTTAAAAGAGAGAAGAAAGCCCGACGATGATAAAGGATTACGTGAAGGACATTAATTATTATTTTTTTCCACCGGATTAACAGCATGTCACTGTTGGTTGAGAACCGCTTCTAATTTAATGACTATAACACATTAGATTAATAAATAAAATCAGCAAATCATGTCCAAATAGAATTTTGCTTACCTGAAATCAAAGGGTAGGTACACAAAATCATACTCCAATTTGTGCTCCTGACAATACTTATCCAGGATTTTGAACAACGTATTCCTCCTGCACATTATCACCCCACAAAAAGTAAACAAGAAGTCTAAGGGTACGACAAGTATGGACTATGTACGGCAATAAGCAATATCTATAAGTGTTATATTTAGGATGAAATTTCATTGAATATATTTTCTCTATTTTCTTGTTAATAAATCATCGATGCGAATTTGAGTGAATTTAAGTGAAACCCACCAAAGAGTAGAAAAGTAGATTGGGAAACAAGACAAGGTAAACAAAGAGGATAACAGACTCAAAATTTTAGCACGCGGAACCCTTCTGCTAGAGCTACAGAATTGTTTGTGCTCAAATCCTTATCTAACACGCACCGATTATCACAGGTCTAAGACAATATATATATATATATATATATATATAGAGAGAGAGAGAAGGGGGCGGGGGGAACCTGAGCTGGTTTGGAATATTCTTGATCATAACCGTGGTTTTATCATAAACTGAAAGATCATCGGAAGGAGAAGGGAGGGGAGTACCACCCACAGCAACACCGTCATCAGACTTGATCTTCCTAGGTTTCCACACGCCCCTACAAATTTTCCTACCATACTCATGCCTGTTCACGATTCTTTCTCTCACACACCTTGACGCCACAAACCTCTCATCGCTTCTTTCCCACCCATCATAAGAACTCCTCAAACCCTCTCTGTTCTTCCCCACCTTTTCAGTACCCATAACCCTCTCTTCGCAACCACCATTGCCTGCAAATCCAAAGTCACCCAATTCACTTGGATAAGCCAAAGGAAGGTGGCAAGGGAGCAGTGGGTTAATATAAATATTATACTGAGAATGGCGAATTGGGAATGCAGTGGGTGTATAGATAAACGCCTGTGCAGGCTCGGAAAACTCCACCCCTGCCGTCATTGGGGGTGAAACCGGTGGTTGGGGTTGTGATGGTGGACAGAATTCATGGGGAAGTAGGAAAAGATTTTGGTCTTGTACTAAGCTTCTCGAGGGCTGTGGTGGTGGTGGCTGTGCAGACGATGATTGTGGAGATTTTTTACGGAGAAGAGGGGGACACCAAGGTGATGCATTTGGGTTCAATGGTTTAGGGCTTGGTGCAGAAGCCATTGCCGTAGGTTCACCGCACATACTGTGAAAAAAAATGAAGAACAAAGGTCCCTTCGGAAAAGGTAGGAGAGTATATAGACTAGAGTCGGTCGACACTCTTCTGCGCTATGTTTAATGAAGACGTGTGTGTCCTCATGTATCTGTACGGATACACATGTACGTCCACGGAAGCCTCTTTACCCTAATCCCAAAAGTGGAAAGAAAAGTTTAGAGTGCATCCGTGTTTTTGAGTGATTTACTCAAAACTTCTACTTAAAGTTTAGTAATTTTTTTTGTGAAAAATGTTTGATTGGATAAGGGCTTTAATAAACACATTTACTTCTAATTTAAATTTAAAATAAATTCTAGTATTTTCCCCATATTAGTTTATATTAATTATTCCTTTAAATTCATTCCCCCCCCCCCCATTCTTTAATAGACTTAAAAAATTGAAAAAAAGTTCAAATAAAAAAATAATTGAACCAAGTCACTACCATATCATTATATTAATAAATTAAATTTTAATAACATTACTCAAAAATTAATTATCACAAAACTTTCATTCCTCCCCAACCAATAACTAATTTTCCAAGTATTGAATAACACTTTGCCATTCTAACACTTTACCAATCCAATTAAAACAAAACCAAAAATCTATAAGTCTGTCACATTGTAATAAGAGTTTCAAACATTTAAACCACGTAAACAATCTTCCTATATACAAAAATAGAACCACATACATGTAATATTGTCAAGACACAGCAGTGGCAAAACACTCTTACTTTGTCACCTTTATTAATACGTATAATATAAAATATAGTAAATTTTAATGCGGTCATTTGACTGTTTCAAATAGATTTATTTAACGGTCACAGACACTTTTTTCAAAATCATTCACATTAAATTTCTCTTCTATTAAATTCATCATTTCTCACTTACGTTAACTTATACTTGAATACACAAGTTTTTGGCTTTTAAAACTAGAAACTAGGTATCGTTGTATTCAGGATGGAATTTACCTTTGTAATGATTGGATATAATTCAATTAAAGGGGTTAAGGTTCAAAAAAATATAAATTAAAGGGTTGGGAATTACTTTTGTTATTTATCTCTATTTATATTTGACAGTAGTGTGGAATCAAATTTCTGGCTTTTCATGGTGAGAGAAATCTACGATACCTAAAAATTTTGTATCGCTGTTTTAAATTTTATAATTTTTGTAATAACTTGTTATTAATGGTAACATTTTTCAGATAAATTTGTCACATTTTATGATCTATTTGTAAAATGTTAAACATTTTTAGGATAAAATTATGAACACTTTACATTAAAAATGAATGTTAGGATCGATCACAAGTTATCATAAAAATAATAATTTTGTCCAAAATAATTGTAATTCAAATCTTAAAAGTTATAATATGCCCAAAAAATGTATAGTTGGAGGTACGATGTCGAAATCTATCTAATATTACAATTAAAAGTTTTAATTTTTTATTTATATAAATGCAACAACAATCAAAATTAATTTAATTTTTATCTATTTTAATTCAATGGTAAAAAATTCGTTTCAATTTTTTTTTTTTTGGTTCAAAAAACACATCATCTTTATTGTATGACTCCAATGCTAAATAACCCCTCATCGATTGCTTTTATACCTCTCTTTTCTTTTTTTTATCTTTTTTTATTTTATTTTTGAACGTTTATTTTTAGATTATATTATTATTGATTAAAAAATAAAAATAAATATTATACAATCAATATTTAATTTTTAAGCTTGTAAAGTGTCTTTGTACATCAAATTATTATGGATAACTTATTTTGAAAATAAGGTATGATGTGAAAAATTTTAAAATGGATAGTAATTGTTATTAATTGTCTCTATTTAAAGTTGTGGAATGAATATAATAAAATTTGTTGAAAGGTTTGCATAGGGGGAGGGGGGCATAGGCAACCACCCCATAGGCATGCACAAGGGACTGGCTTTCGGGACACACTTTCACACGTTTGGATAAAAAATCTCTGTAATGATGGCCACTGGAATTTGGAGATTTCTAATTATGCCTCTTTCATTTAATGCTCCATACAGAACAAGACAAAACAAGCATGGTTTGGCGGCGGATGTAAGATGCAGCCTTTGCCTTACAAACTGGGGATTTGCTACCTTGTCCCAGATGGGTTTCACTATCCAGTATGGGTATGTATGTCCAGACACAAATCAAAACAAATGTTGAAAGCCAATCCTGTTTTGTTCCATTTGCAAGCTTGGCTTTTGCTTGAAGCGCCATGCATGCTTCTCCAGAGGCTGTGTAGGGATAAGGAAATGTGTTTCTGTATAAATGGTGCAACTTAGCAGCACAATTCGGACGCCAAACGAGAAGAGGGAGAGAGTGAGAGAGAGAGCATTAAATGTTGGTACTAGAACGAAATGGACAATGAATTGACATAAATTTGAGATTAATGATTATATATTATCACATTTTTAAAATTAAATGAACTTCCCTGTGAATTTAATGATTGTCAGACATTCTTCAATTTATATCCCAAAATAAATACAAATAGTATTAGTAAGCATTAAGACACCGAAATTTTTTTCAATTTTTTAATCTTTAAATTAGAAAAAATATTATTTATACTTAATTTAAAGATTTAATCTTCAAACTCACAATTGTTCTAGTAGTTACACTGAATTATGTCTCCATAATATTACTTTTAAATTATTTTAGACCTGAATTAGTTTTTTTTTTTTTATTTTATCTTTGGTGGTTGATTGCAAAAAATAATAAATTAAGGTGAAATAATAAAATAAATAACTATATACCTATAAATTTTTTTTTTGTATTATTGTTGAACCTTTAATAAATGAAGCTGACGACAAACAGAAAAGGTAACCTCAAAGAATGTTCAAAGCCGGTGAAGAACAACGATTTGCTCCTTTATCTTTCATTTTTATTTTACATATATACAAACCCTGTACCACCTCCAGGGCGACAGGCTTCAATGCTTAGACTTCCATTGTTAAATGCAAAACTAAAACATTCTGAACAAGTAGAAAACTGAGCCTTGTTGCCCCATCTTTATCTGAGCTCTACCTTACCTTTTCTGTCATTTAGGCTAAATTCGTATAAGGCAAACCATTCTGAGCATATCCCTTCTGGTTGACCATTACTCTCTTTTGGCTTAGACCCATTGACATGTCGCTTGTCCCATGTATTAGTATTACCTAGAATGTGAAACAATGAATTTATTTCACGTAAAAGTCAAATGTTCTGTTGCTGAAGAGTGAAGACCCAAAACCAGTACTCCTGCTAAAAAGGAAGGGAAGGATGGAGTCATGGAGAGAGAGGGGGAGGGGGGAAGCGGATCATGGATTTACAGGAATAAATCTCTCTCTGGTGATTTTAAAAATTATCAAGATTAAAATTTTTAAGATGTTTGAGTGTACGTATCATCCCTAATGACACTTAAATATTAATTTAAATTTAAAATAATTGAATTTATAAATAATTACTAATACTAATTGAGTATTTTTAAATTTGATATATAGGATTTCAGATGATTACTTTCACCATGTGTATAACTGCTATCCTGAATTGTAGCCTTGCCTAGATAGGGCTACACCAAGGCATTGTACGGCCTCCACATATCCAAGATTAATTGATGTGATTGCATTTGTTGTTGTGGATTTTGTCAATACAACTTTTAAACTCGACGTACAATTAAAAATTCAAAAACACAATACAATGGGCAAGAGTTACTAAACTAGAGCGAGTATCAAACAGATAGAAGTTATAAGTGATTAGTACACTTCAAAGTTCAAATGGTTAAAAACTCTGAGGATTAAAGGATAATTACTGATTAAGGGGTAAGAAGTGTAACAAACCTCCTCATATATTACAAACAAATTGCTACATGAAACCTACAAGTGCTAAAGATGAACCGTGTACCTATTCAATTATTGGAATTGGAAGGAGTAGAGAAATACAATCCACAACCAAGTACCTATGCCACCATCCAAACATGAACCGTGGAGTATTGAAGGCAACTAACAGTGGTAAGCATGGAGATGATTGTGTCGAGGTCACTGTAATGATGTGATAACTAGTATCACTCAAACCACTGTGCAATGTATGATGATGGCCAAGGTGCGGGGACATGATATGAGTTGGTGATTGAGTATATATCTGTGATTTCCAATGCCTCATATATGCTACTGAAACACACATAGAAGAGATCTAGTAATATTTTTATTTTAAATAATAATTTAATTTTTTAATTATATAATATAAAATAAAAATAGAGATATATGTAAATTAATGTGATTGTTTGAAATTTTATAGTATATTGATTGAGTTATTTGATATTAAAAATCGTGTTTCGTGAAAAAAAAATTAATTTTTTGGGTGAGAAAAAAAATGTTTATGATAAATTGTATATTATTAAATCAACTTTGCCTATTGTTGTGTTTTTATAAGTTGAGAATTAAAACTTTTAACTATAATATCAGATAATTATTTTATTTTTTTTGTCAATAGTCAAAAGTAAATTAGTTGAAAACCATGAAAATAAATTATCTTTCCATATAGAAATTTGGATACCGTATCCCTTGATCTAATTTGGGTCCATATCAACAAAGAAAAACCTACCGTCAAAGTTTAGATCTAAAAATCAAGAAAAGAAAACTTCAACCTTAACTAATTTAACCCAACCAATATCATTGACACCAGATCTTATGTTCTGACTGCAAAAAAATTTTGCACCTCTCAAGTCTTTAATCTTTTTTAATTAGTAAATATAATAAAATAAAATAAAATAATTAAATAATTAATTTGTGCATATGTAAAGTTTTCATTGAAGAACCAAAAATTATATTATAGTTGGACCCTTCTCTCTGTAAAGTTGGTGCAAAGTGCTCCTGCGGGTAGAGAAGCTGTCATGTCAACTTTCTGCTAGAAATATACGTAAGAATGATATTCTTTAAAATTTAATTTATTAATTTAATTTGTTGACGTAATTTATTATAATCTTTGGATTAACTATGGGCTCCATCAAATATTAAAATTTGGTGTTAATCTAATAATTTTAATAAAGTCATGTTATTAAATCAACAAATTATATCAAATTTTTAGATCAAAATATCATTTTCCATATACTTAAGGGGTTGAAAGCAGTTGTTTCCTGAATGTGCTAACCAAGATATTGGGCCGCTTGGGCTTTCTTTTGTTTTTTTTAGGGTTAATTACAAAATATCCCATTAAACTTTAGAATTTTATTTCAAACAGGATCTTTTGATTTAAAATTGAACAATTTATCCTCTAATGTTTGAATTATTTTTAATTAACTCTTTACCATTAGTTGACCACTGTTAAAAATTACTTAAATTAATTAAAAGTCCACGACTACCATTATCTTAATATTTTGTATAAAAATCAAAATCAAAAGAAAAAGAAAAATCCAAATTTAGTGAAAACCCAACTCGGATAAAATACCCAACTCCCTCGCCCCTCCACTAAAACCGAAACCTACCCCCACCCTTCCCTCAACTTCCTAATCCCTGCCCCTCCATTGAACCGAAACTCAAATCCCTCCCCTTTCTATTGAAAGTGAACCCACACCTACTCTTCCCTCAACTACCGAATCCTTCCCCCTCTACTGAAATCGAAACCCTCCCCCTCTATTATTGATCCAATGGCTGAGTGGTGGCTGCAGTGATTTGTGGTTGGGTGATGGCTACGGTGGTTTGTGGCTGCGGTGGTTGTGGTTGGGTGACTGGTTGATTGAGTGGTGGCTACGATAGTTTGTGAGCTGGTTGATTGTGGCTGAGGTGGTTGGTAGCTGCGGTGGATTAGAAGTTGGGGTGATTGTGTTTGGGTGGTGGTACGGTGGTTTGTTTTGTTGATTGTAGCTGCATTGGTGTTGTGGTGGTTGATGGTTGTGATGGTTTGTGGCCGGTGATGTTGGATATTTTGGCTTAATTGGGCAAAGAGAAAGGAAAGAAAATGGAGATGGATAAAGGCTAAGTTAACTTGTTAATTTTGGAACTTGAAAGGGGGAAAATTGTTCAATTTTAAATCAGAGGGTCTTAATTAAAATAAGATCTAAAGTTCAATGAGGTATTTTGTAATTAATCTTTTTTCGTATTATCAAAATAATTTTCAGAGTAACTGGCATGAGTAAGGTAGTGGTGTGGGGTTGGACTTATACGAACTGTAAATTTGAATGAGAGGGCCGCTTGTACAGCTATGTCGCTAAAGTGGTTTAGAGAAATTTTATCTCTTGGTGAGAGCAGAGATGAGACTTGTATTTTATTTATATAGAACATATTATAATATGTGTGTGACCCATCTAAGCGAGTATGTATATTATAACAAAAAATAAGATGAGAATTAGATTAGTTACATCACTTAATCGACAACGGTGTTTGAATTTGAATTAACAATCAACACTATTATCTACCACTCAGCAGTGCTATCAATCACTCCCCAGCAAACGTGCCCGAGGGTCAAGACAAAGGCCAAGTTTGTTGTGTGAACACATTTGTAATGTGTTAGAGTATGTGTGGTTCATATTTATTGTGTGCATAATGGTAAGGAGGCAAATGTCGGAGCAGAGCCTGCGACGACATTTGCCTTGCGGGATTTAAATAAAGGGGACGTTGATTAGTTGGGGGTGCAGGGGCAACGCCCCCGCGGTACGATACAGGGGTATTTTTGTAAATACGTCAATATTAGGGTTATATAAATACTTAAGATGTAACCCTATTCTATAATGGAAAAGAACGGCCGCTCGCTCTCGTGGATGTAGGCACATTGCCGAACCACGTAAATCTCTGTGTCTTATTTTCTCCTGCTTTCTTAATTGTTTGATTCCTTACTATTCACCATAATTGCTGCACGATCACAACAATTGGTATCAGAGCTAGACTACGATGTCTGGGATTTCCTCTACAAAATTCGACATCATGAAGTTCGACGGAACTGGAAATTTCGGATTATGGCAGAGGAGGGTGAAGGACCTGTTAGTGCAGCAGGGCATGGTGAAGGCATTATACGGAAAACAACCGGCAGGAATGGACAACATGGATTGGAAAGAATTGGAAGCGAAGGCTGTGGCGACTATTAGGCTTTGTCTGGCTGATAAAGTGATGTATCACGTCATGGATGAGGAATCATCGGCGGAAGTTTGGTTGAAACTGGAAAGTCGGTATATGTCCAAGTCGTTGACGAACAAGCTCTATCTTAAGCAGAAATTATATGGTCTTAAGATGTCAGAGGGCTCGGATTTGACCCAACACATCAACGTGTTCAATCAGATCATCAGCGATCTGAAGCGAGTTGATGTGAAGTTCGAAGACGAAGACAAGGCGCTGATGTTGCTGAATTCCTTACCGGTGTCTCCTACGTACGAGAATTTGGTTACGACTCTGATGCGGGGGAAAGAAACTCTCGAATTGGAGGATGTCACAGGTGCTCTGTTAGGTTTTCATCAGCGGAAGAAAGCCAGTGATGAGGCTTCACAAGGTGAAGGGCTTGTGGTGAAGGGTAACCAGGAACGTGGAAGAAGCAAATCTCGGAATGGATCGGGTAACAATAAAGCCCGGTCCAAGTCGAGGAAGAAGAAGAAGGACGTCTCTGTCTCGTGTTACAAGTGCGGGAAAAAGGGGCACTTTAAACGGGACTGTCCAGAGAAAAAGAAAGGGGATCAGAGAACAAAGAGGGTGCATCAAAGTCTGCAAACGTAGTGGAAGAAGAAGATTCAGAGAGTGGTGACAGAGATATGCTTTCTGTTTTATCTAGTTCAGATCGTTTAACAGATTCTTGGATTATGGATTCAGCATGTTCCTATCACATGACACCCAACAAAGATTGGTTTGACACCTACAGGTCAGTAAATTCTGGTTCTGTTCTGATGGGTAATGATGCATCTTGCAAAGTTGTTGGAATAGGAAATATTAGAATTAAAATGTTTGATGGTATGGTTAGAACGTTGTGTGATGTTAGACATGTACCGGATCTAAGGAAGAATTTGATTTCATTGGGCACTTTGGATTGTAATGGTTATAGTTACAAATCTATAAGTGGAGTAATGAAAGTAAGTAAAGGCATGCTGACAGTGATGAAGGGACAGAAAGTAGTAAGAAACATTTACAGACTGCTGGGTACTACA